CTGCTGGCAAACATCTGCCTGACCAGATCCTCGAGTTCACACCCTGAACCGCAGCTGAAGCTTGGGGGGCTTTTGGTGTGGAATGGGGAAGAAGTGGCACCCCAGTTTCTGACAAGAAGACAAAGAAGTGTCCTGCCTTGAGCTGAGCTGGCCCAGCAGCACTCGAGGCACTCAGCACCGAGCTCCCTTCCCCCTTCTCACCCAGGGCTGCACTTGCTGCTAATTTTGATTCCGTGCACTCAGACCAAGACGTGGTCAGCTTACATGCTGCTCCTCTCCAGTCCCTGAAGTAAGTTACTTTCTCATGATTCAGTACTATAGAAATATAACTGTTGAGATCAGCTGCTTTATTTTCGTCAGCTTTTCTCCAGACCTTTCAATCAGAGGCTGCATTATACTATATTCCCATAAAGCCAGGAAAAGCAGTAATAGATACCTCAAAATTCTGACTTCTATTTTTCCTGCCAAGTGATTTCTCTAAGTGCTTTGTTTTCTGCTGTCACTGAATTAGAATAGTACCTGTACTCCGAAGTCTTCACTGTTCCTGTCACTATTTCAATACACTCTTCTCAGATTAGAAGCTTTCAGCCTCAAAAATGCTCCTATTTTGCTGTCTGCAGAAGAAAATACACCCAGCATTTTCTCACTACTTATGGCTGAGGTTATCAGACTTTTGGACAAAAGCTATCCGAGTTCCTTGTGGTGACAGGAAAAGATCCCCCTGCATCTGCTTTGATGGGGAAGCCAACAGCACATAATCCCCTTAGTAAAAAGAAAAACAAATGCAGATGAATCATTCCTCAGATTTAGTTGGAGACTCTCTGCTCCAGCTCTTGACTTTGCTCAGAGGAGCCACACAAATTGCACAGCAGCCTCTGGAAGGAGCCTGGCTGTGACACCAGACAGCACGAGCTCTCCCAGGCCCAGGTCCAAGGCACATCTCAGCTCCCTCCCAGTGCCCAGGGCTCTCCTCCTGCCCCACAGGTCTCCCCAAATAAAAGATAAAAAATATTTAATTCAAAGCAGGTTACGTTGTACAGCCCCAAGGACACTCGATGTACCGTGCCCAGAGTGCAAGGCAAAAACTTCTGGGGAAGGTTCCCTGCTCTGGCACACCTGAGGCTCTGTCACAGCAGCTGCATGGCAGGACAAGAACCTGCCTGGGGGGACCTGCTCTGCTGTGCTGGGAGTGCAGGAGAGCTGCTCCAAACCCAAACCCAAACCCAAACCATCAGTGTTAGACCAGAGCTGTGCTGGGAGTGCAGGAGAGCTGCTCCAAACCCTAACCCAAACCCAAACCCAAACCCAAACCATCAGTGTTAGACCAGAGCTGTGCTGGGAACACAGGAGAGCTGCTCCAAACCCAAACCATCAGGACCAGAGCTGTGCTGGGAATGCAGGAGAGCTGCTCCAAACCCAAACCATCAGGACCAGAGCTGCGCTGGGAACACACCCAGGACACCTCCTGAGCTCAGAGCTGCTCCCAGCCATCAGAGATGGCCATGGGATGCTGAGCTGCTCCTCTCCAGTCCTCACATTCCTGCCCAGCCTGTGGGGAAGCACCTGTGAGGATACCTGGGCACCCTGCACCTGCCCAACTCCCACACAGCCTGAGAAGAACAGGGGGGAAGGGAAATCAATGCCATTATCTGCCATTATCTTCCAGGTACATCCTCACAATTAATGCAGCACCTTGCAGAAAGTGAAGGAGCACATCCCTGACTTCATTCTGCTCATCCATGAGCTTTATTTAAGATCAGAACAGATAATTCTCAAGTGTCCACAGCCTCTTTTAAAAGCAACCAGATATTGAGCAAAACAGTCATCACTGGGTTTTCTAGGCAGGACTCACAAGTGGGACCCACACACTCTAAAGCAAGCAGTTACTTTCCTCTTTGGCTTCAGGAAAGAAGTTAAAACCCCCCCAAAAGCTTTTAATTAAAAATAGACTTTGATATTTCTGTAACACCTGCAGAACTCCACTGACACCAGCACAGACTTTACACAAGGGTAATTTAACTGCAAACAGCCATTGCAAGGCAGTTAAGTATTTGCTCTGGATTGTGCTTATTCCCACCAAAACCCAGGGCCTTTCAAGGCTCTGTATAAATCAGTTTTTTCTAAAAAGACCCACCCCAAAATCCGATTGAAGAAAGTGTCTTTCAACAGCTCCCAGAGCCCAGCTCCGCCAGTTGTGCTGTGAAATTCTGTAGAGCTGCAGCAAAGCCCAGCTCCTGCATGGCCCTGCCATGCCCCAGAAAGCTCCAGGAGTAAGAAAAGCTGCCAGTGCTCTCAGTGAGGAGCATTCCACATCTATCAGGCAAACATAACCTGCATTTCCAGCAGGTGTTCAAACTGCACTGTGTGACCCTGCAGAATGGGGGTACAGGAACAATAAGCTACTGCTACATAAACCATGATTATACTGTTCTGTGAAAGAGGGGTTCACGAACCCAAAACGACAGAGCTCTCTCTCAGGACTCCAGTGCCACAGAACACCTGCAGAAAAATGCAGGAAATGGTATCCCATCCTTTTCAGGCAAATTTCTGTTTTATTGTATTAAAAAGACCCAAAAAAACAGCAACAGCCAAACCAAAAAAATCTCACAAAAATCCCACCCGTCACTGCCTGGGTTTACTAAGGCTAGAGCCAAATTAAACATTCCCATTCAAGAGTATTAACACTTGCAATCACCAGAAGAGAATCCAGGTGGTTCAGTGGAAAAACCATTTCCTATTTTTGTCCACAACTGAAGAGGCTGAAGAGGAGCAGGCAGCCTGCACATGAAGGAGTGAACATTAACTCCTCCCCAGCATCCCGGAGCCTTTTTAAAGCTGTTTCACAGGTGCTGTGAGTCACAGAGCACCTCACACATGGACCTGCTGCTGGAGCTGGAGCTGCCTCTTCCCTTGGTGCTGGCAGAGAAAGTTTTGATGGGAGCTCAGGGAGCGCAGCAGCATCTCCTGGAGCGGAGTGTCAGCACTGCCTTTCCTGGGAGCCTCAGAATATTCACCTTCTGTGTCAGCACTGACATCACAGCCTGCACGTCCCGGCAGCACCACTGACTCACTAACACACACAAATGCCTCTGTCCCGCTGGTCTCCAATGTGCCACAGCCTCTACACTGGCAATTTCAGACATCATCTATGCCATTAAAACCTGGAATCCTAGCACAGAATGCAATGTGTAAGCTTGATTTTAAAAATAAGCTTTCAGGCAAGCACAGTACAAGTACGGCAGTTTCTTTTTGCTTATCATTATAACACAGTTCTAAATCACACAAAATAATTCCTCAGAAAGGCGGGAATCTTTTGTTCTGCTCTGCTTAATAAATTATTTAAAGCGCAATATAGTGAACAAAGCCACCATAAAAAAAAATCAAAACCGACTCAACTTCAAAGAACATAATGCAAAGGCAAACCATATTTATCTAGGAAAAAAGGGAGGTTTTGCAATGCATCCGAGTAGTGAAGTTGATTGTGTTGCTAAGAACAAACGTGATGCAGGTTTTGGACGTAAGACAGAACATAGTAGGAAAAACAGCTGGGGAAAAACTCACATTTAAAAAAAAAGAAAAAAAAAAGAAAGTTCCCCGAAGTGTTAAACATCAACTTTCAAAATCATGAAACAAAAAAAACTTTTTATCAAGAATAGAAAGGTTGGATTGCTTTGATTCGGCCTCTCAGGCCGCTGAAAGTGAACGCCAGTGTCCCACTCGCTCTGCCAGGATCAGTGAATAAAGGTGGCTTTTGGTCCTTCGGGGAGGCCGGGCCCCAGCGGGCACACACCGAGTGCGGGGGACCCCGGGGGACCCCGAGGGACCCCGAGCCCCCCGGGATGGGCAGGGGGACATCGCCACCTGCGCGACCCCGGGGAGACCCCGGCAGGGACCCCACATCCACCTGGGACCCCACATCCACCTGGGACCCCACATCCACCTGGGACCCCACTGTACCCCAGCAGAGACCCCGGCAAGGACCCCACTGTACCCCGGCAGGGACCCCCACATCCCCAGCCATGCCCCCCGCGCCGCGGGGCCCGGGGCGAAGC